GCTTAGTTTCCCTATAGTTCTAGAGCACTAAAACTCTATTTTAACACTAGAACTCCTTTGACAGGCAACTACAATGTGAGCAGAGGTGGGCAACAAAATATGCATGGACTAGAATACTGTTATGCATGCCGGGCACACAAAAGTAGGTCGTGACTTTCAAAATTTGGCCAATCAAAACTTGATTGCATGATTACTGGTAGCTTGGTCTCAGTAGAGTTGGACTGCAATGAAATATTTTCTTACAAGTTTGAATTGCCAGCTAGTCTTCCACAATCAGGGTCCAGTGAGAGCCTTCTTAGACCAGGTACTGAAAGCTATGTTATGAAGACCAACCAGACCAAGTCTTTTTAAATCAATAGAGAAGTCACATAAAAACTGATATGATATAATGTGAAATTACAGCAGTGGAAAAGCATAGCAAAATACTTGAATTCTTCAGTTTGATGTTTTACAGTTATACCATCAGTTCTATTGATATTTGGTAGCCATTGCACCATTTGCAATCTCTTTTATACTAGATGTAAAAAAATAAAAATAAAAATTCAAACTTCTATTGTTATCCTAATCGGGTATTTTAAGATTGCCAATTGATATTTATAAATTTCAATTGAAACAGAAAATCATCCAAACACAGTGATCTTTGGAGATGATCGGTCTTCCTTGACTGTGATCTTCTAGAAAAATGAATAATATACAATAATGTGTTTCAAATCCAGGCTGCACAATATACCAGACTTACTGTTATCACAATATTGTATCAAACACATGTTGGTAGTTATATCTCCAGAGGTTTGGGGGTAACATTTTTTTCCAACGCAAATAGTCATAGTGTCTGAACAGCAGAAAAAAATCCAAAATTTATCATCACTGCAGTATCAATGCGAACAATATCAATATCGCAAATGATTGCAAAGAGTCACAAACTAACCACRGGCTGTCTGTAGGTTTTTGTGGGAAACCACAGAAAGTATTTCTCAGTATACTCAAATGTGTACAATAAAGCAGCATTCCGCAACAAYGTGCTCAGCAGTGTGAAACATCCCAGTTTAGCTGTTAAACACCAGGTGTCATGTTGGTTCTTGTTGGTTTCACACAGCGATTCGAGTCCCTCCCTGGAACAYATTTCTCATGTCTCCATAGGATTCAGCGCTATTTCCAGTTTGTTTGTCGCCATGAATAATGAGTATCCTATAAGATCTGATGACATCATTTGAAGACTGCCGTCGAAAAGAATGACTAATTATGTAGTTGGGACAGTACAGATTGGGACTACACTACTTCACATGACTGGCACCACCTGCCCTACGTGTGYGTCACACTCACTTCACATATCCCTCTGCTGTGAAATTGAGCTGGTGCCTGTCAGTTCTGCACAAACCCCAGCAGACATGTGTAACGACGCTGTGGTGACTTAGGCTCTATATTGTTTTTGTTATTTAGATTTAAGCAGAAAGAGGTGGAATGCTCCCCCTGGGTTGGAGGTGATTTTTTTTGCCTCAAGCAGAGGAGTTCAGGTTTCTGAGAGTCTGGTTCGCAGGTGGGAGCAGCAGATGGATTGATGGACTGGGACTTCATCTGCAGTAATGAGTAGGGCTGTGTATTGGCAAGAATTTGGCGATACGATACATATCATGACAGAGGGGTCACGATACGATATATCCCGATATATTTAGAGACTGTAAACAAGGTGACATATTGCAATATTTTTGGTCCAAAAATTCTATTAAATAAAAACCTCTTACTGGGGAAAAAAAAACCAAAATTCATTGTGTCAGAAAATTCTAACATTACATAGACATACTTTTGATACATTTAGCTGTGTTCTGCTTTGTATGTGTTTTATTTTATTTGTTTCATATTTCATCCATGTTTTCAATTATTAGACTAAATTTGCCAATAAATAGTTTGAAAATATATTTTTGCAGCTTTTCGTTTTTAATATTAATTTACAATATGGTCACCCAACACTTAACAATAACCTTTAWGTTGTCATAAAGTTCAGTAAACAGATGAAATGAAGCTGCTGCACACAGAGTTTCTGGGATCAGCTGACCTGCATCCAGAACATGATTTACATAACTGTGGGTCGAACAGCAGGGCAGGTCCTGAAAATAAACAGTAAAGAAATGGAGAAGCTAAACGAGTTGAACCGTTTTTGAAGCAAACACAACAGGATAAAGTATATGGACTTTGATGTGATCATCAGTCGGACATTGAGAGCAACAGACAGTTTTATGTCACGGGGGGAGTGCCGAGCTCGCTCGAGGTGATAGACGCATGCGCTATACGTAACGTGAAAGCTGACTACAGTTGGAAAAAAAAGCGCACAAAACACTTAATTTGGCTTAAAATACAAACATTAACCTTACCTCAGCTTAGAAGGCAGAGGGTGTCGGTCTTTTCCACTCAGATTCAGCTATCGGAGCATGAAGCTAATGTTTACTTACAATGCTAATGCTCTCTTACTCTCTGGCRCTCAAGAGGTAGAGGAGCCAAATGGCTGTCTCACTGCTGTCAACTAGTGGTCAGAGGCTGAACTACAACATAAAAATGAATGGCTGGCAGGAAAGTTGACATTTTAAGCCTTAATAAAATATCGATACAGGGCTTTAGAATATCGATACAGTATCGGGAAATGAAATATCGCGATATTTCAGTGTATCGATATTTCTTACACCCCTAGTAATGAGGGCATTGCTCCAGTCTGTTGAGGTAACATAAATAAATAAATAAATAAATAAATAAATAAATAAATAAATAAATAAATAAATAAATAAATAAATAAATAAATAAATAAATATGAGCTAAGCCAAAAGGCAAAGCTCTCAATTTGATCTCTCACCCATAGTCATGTGAAATGAATCATAACTGAAAGAACGCTCGGAGTAGAGACACTGCTCCTCCCTATTGAATGGAGTCATTTGAGGTTGAAAGATCATGTTTAAATGAGAGGAATTATGTACAGCAGATCAGTTCATTTCCCAAACTTGAATATTTATTTATAGACGTGCAAAGTTACCACACATAACTCAGATCTGGTCCATCCAGATTAATCAGGAAATGGTGTCGTATTACACGTGACCCACAGTTATTATACCAGAGCCAAGTCCCATCCCAAATATGTCGTCATACTGAWCAAGGAAGTAAACAGTACCACTTATGTGTAAACTGTTGGAACGAGGCACATGTTAAAMAGAGACTTGTTGATTCCCTTACTGGTTAAAGTAAATGATTACAACMGATCACAAAGTACAAAAATAAAATTCAGTTAATCAAGCACAAAATATCCTTCAAGGTGGTTCRAGCATCTGATTGGGATGCCTCCTGGGTGCCTGCTCCAGGAGGTTTTCTGGTCATGTCCCACTGGAAGGAAACCTGCAAGAAAGAACCAGAGGAGGATTTAGATATCTTTTGTAGCCTGKGAACGCCTTGGGATCCAAGCTCTAAAGAGGAGCTGGGAAGTGTTGGGGAGAGGGATGTCTGCCTTCTGGATCCATGACCAGACCATGGATAAAAGGAAGAAAATGCATGGATGAACTGATGAATAAATATTTAGATTTAGCTTCAGCGCAAAACTGTCTCAACCCATTTCTCATAAAACAACTTGAAATAAATGAATGAAACCAGGGTTTCCAGCACTGAGGACAGCTAAACAAGGCCTGTAATGCCTTTTAATATCCAGTTCACAACAAAGAGTTTTCTTTTAAAACTAGCATTAAACATTTCTTAACCAAATTTTAAAGGTCAACCGTTTTAACAAACAAGATAAACAATAGACATCTCAAATAAAGACTTTAAGTGTAATTTTAAACCAAGAATTGATGTCTAAATTATCAACCACGTGTGAGTTCACAGCATGGCAACTGCGCTCAACTTGTCATCATCAGAAAAAGAAAACCCAAAAGCCCTGAAAGGGTCTTTTGAGATAACTGCCTGAAAGCATATTCTTTGAAAGCACTGAACAATCTCCGAAAAAGCAGCAAATCTTGACATTTAAATAAGAGTCAGCCTTTTTTGTGTATTTTTTGCAGATGATGCAGTGATGTGTGTGATAAAAGCAGGTATTTTACCCAATTTTCAATTCAATTTGTAACCCTTTCTCACATTAACTAAACCGAAATAGCCCTATGAGGAAAACATAGTTGCTTACAAATATAACTAAACAGAGAAAGTATAAAAAAATGCAGGGTTTTGGTTGAAAGAACGTTTAATGAGAGCAAAAAAAGGGAACCTTTCATTGTTGCTGTCTTCTGTAAAACTGTGGAAAATTTTATAAAATGGGAGTTTTTATACTCTAGAATTTATTCCACATGTGCTATCAACTGGAAGGTATTTGTCAAGAAATTCATTTTGATCTGCTGGAGGAGAAACTTTTGGTTTTCTTGCATTTCTTTTTCTATAAAATGCAAGTTATTTTTTGGAGTATGGGAATAGTCRGTGGATGTGTGATCATATGCGTACTGTACGAGGAGTTTACTTCACTTCTAGCTGTTGCTCCACAAAATATGTTTTCACTGCATCTTCTTTTTTTTTTCACAGGCAGAACAAAAACATGCAAAGCAGTTCATGAATATAACAACAGTTAAGTCACCTGAGTGTATGGGAAAAAAAGTTCTAACATTGATTATTGAAGCGCTGCAGAAGGTTCAAACACTTTTTATGTTCTGAACATTTAGAAGGATATTCACTATCTCCTTACAGCCTTTTTGCCTAAAAAGCCAAACACAATAATTACTTACAGAACTTGGTTGTGATTCAGATTTCATTTTCGGTTGTTTATCAGTAATTCTCAGATCAAGAAATATTGTACTGTATTTAACAAAGAATGAAAGAAATGAAGTTACCCCCACTGAGTTTRTTTGTTTTATGATTTAAATTTTGCACATTAGAGCAATCATTAACACTTTTGTTTTTTAGCAGATGTCTGTTCAAATCACAACTTGACTTTGCTAACAACAGTAATCCAGCCTCAAAACCTCACCTTCTCTGGTTTTCTTTAGACACAAATGGTTTCCACTGGAAATGACACAGATGAACACATCAGGATGTTTCAGCAGGGATGAGAGGAGCTCGATGTCATGTGCTGAAGCAGGGCTTTTAATACACTGACGGTAATTTCCACTCCACTCAGAATATAGCTGTCAAGCATCTCACCAGCGTAAAGTCATTCGTAATTCAATCATATTTAGCAACTGGCTCCTGGATTTTTACCACGTGACCATTTCAGACTTGATGCGAATAAAATATTAGGTTAAAAAATGTTCTATGTGTTTACATGTATTTTGTTGATTTTTTGATTAACTTTTCAGAAAAATATACATTTTAGGTTGTTGAATAAATGTGCATAAGAATTAAGTAATAAATTGGAGCTTTGGCAGATTTATTGCTGAAAAAAGGTTTACTGTGATTTTCCAGAAACTACRTCTTCATCTTTGATGAAAGTCTATAAGTGCAAATACCAGCAACTTAAAAACAAACTTAAAGATCTTAGTTATAACAAGATTAATGTCTTCATTTAATAAAATACTGTGTTTATAGAAATATGTAAATTATTTATTTTTTATTTCTGCTCGTACAGTTCATAAAATTAATGGTCTAAAATAATAAACGGATGCATTAATTTAAAACATTATTTTCATGATGTTGGCCTGCTGGTTGTCCTGCTGTGAGGAGAAAGAGTTTAAAAAAGACCAATTAATTTTTTCTCATCATTTTAAATTCTGCTTATTCGCTGTATTACAGTTATGAGGTTAGAAAATTGTAATTAAAACTACATTTGATGCACATTTTTGTACATTTGATGCACATTTTGTACTTTTATTGTACATAGCACAGTCTCTTGACCTATTTCAGTTTATGTTTAAATCTATTTTGAGCATTCTTAATGAAATTCACAAACAAAGTGGCTGGGTTCCATAAGGACAAGCTGCTGAGTCGAACTTTTAATGCTGCACGTTTCACCATTTCCCCCAACAAAACTACTCAAGAACAAGGGCAGCATCACCTCTGCCACTAATGAGGTTGTTTATTTACCAAATTTTCTTGTGAGCTTAAACTGAGAGAAAAACAGGCCATGCATAGGGGAGCACGTAATCAGCATTAGCTAAATAGAGCTTCAGAAGTCCCAGGTTCTGTATTCTGTGACAATATAACACAGGCCATCTTACCTGGAGTGTGGGAGGTTACTGAAGTGAGCAGAACCCATTATCACACTCTGAACAAAGATGTGCTGGATTTCAAACTGGAACATAATCTTCGAAAAGGGAGCAACAAGGATGTCATTTTCTTTTATTAAGAAAACCCAGCAAGTAAATAAGCTCATGTCAGATTTGAAAAAAAAAMAAMMAAAACAAATAAAGTAATCTTTGATGGACAAGTGCTCATTAACTTCAACACTGATAAGATCCCAATTTGAAAGAATGTGTTTGCATTAAAAAATAACTGCTGTATTCCAGTTTGTCCCATTGTTTTTATTGGATTTGAGAGTTTTCAAGGTGACATGAAGTGCAGATAAAGTGAATACATAAAATAGTTTGGTGACACCTTCAGACAAAATATGTTATGATGTGGATCGTATAAACAGGCGTACAAGTTAGAGAGTTGGCAGACGCACAGCTTGTCAATATAATAATAATATAATGTGTCAAAAATCTGTTTGCTACCTTCTACAATGACACACAATTATTATGCTTTAATTAATTAGCTTTAATAATTAGATTGGCACTATTGTTTCAAAGAAATCCAGAATCTTTGCATATTTTAATGATTTAAAGTTTGTTTCTGTCACAAAACTTTCAACACATGCAGGTGCAGCATAGATGAGTCTAAACTGGTCGCAAACCTCTGGGTTCCGGTAATAATAGATGATGTTTGTTTATATTTGTTGCACAGTTTTGGATTTCCGCATGCTGTTTTATTTGCTGATTTAAATTAGGTTCCAATCTCTGCGTAAACGTGAGGCTTTACTGTATGTTTGCTTATCTGTCCAGCCGTCCCATCTATTCAAACAGAGTTTCTTTTCATTTAAGGCTGCGTGCTCGCTGGGCTTTTCTTTGCTTCTTTCTTTTTTTTTTTCTTTTTTTTTCTTCCTTCCCTGGGACCTTTTCTGTTATTTTGGGGACCAGATGGCGAGGAGCATGGAAGCGCCTCTTTTGTCTGGGTGCCCCCCCTGTGAAGAAAAAAAAAGGGAGGAAAAAAAAAGGTTGTTCCTCCCTAATGCAATCAGCAGCACCGGAAGGGTCGGTTTTGGGTCGTGAAAGAAGACAATCGGGTCTGGACACGTCTAGATTACAGAAACGCAGGGTTCATCTCCTGACCCGGCCCCCTTTGACCAGGACTCTGGCATGGAGGGTCCTCCATCTTTGATCAGTGGAGTGTAGAGGTGCTTGATGCGACCCCATACGGGCCAAAGGCCACCCCCCACCCCCTCCTTGCCCTGTTTTACGCTGTACTTGGCTGCTGCTGACACCTCCTTCCGGAAGGAGCTCGGGGTGGGGTTGGGGGCGAGTGTGGGGTAGGTAGGATGGCATTGCTGAGAAAAAAAAGGGAGGGGGTACCGTGACCTGTCTAGACACCTTTGTTGCTTGTTGCGATGGTGTTGCTAAGGCGATATAGTGAACTTTGACCTCAAATGTAGTTGGTTAGGAGGTGCTCTGGTCATTTCTCTTCTCCTTTTTTAATTTTCAGAGATGGAGGTGGAGAAATGGGGAAAGAGTACGGATGTGAACACGTTAAACACATGCTGTCTTAAGAGACCCCAGGCTTGAATGAACTGCCAAGACTTCCTGTTTATTTCAGCGGTTGTGTTGCAGTGATTTCAGTGAAGGAAACAAAATGCCAGGACTGTTGTTCCCACTGGATACTTGTTTGGAAATGTATTTCTCATTCAGAGTAAGTAAACTCTAAATTTGACTTAGACTTTTTTTTAATTCTAGCAAATAAGGCTGACTTTTTAAAAAATACAAAGAAGCACCTGGCTTTCTGAGGTGGTTTTGTGCTTCAGCTAACTCAGGGAGAAACATTTTATGAGCTACAGCTTTGTACATGTTGAATTTGTTTGATTTTAATTGTATTTTGATTTTGATTTGATGAACGTAGAATGGCAATAAATTAAACTTGTCACGTCTTGTGAAACAGATTTGAAACAGTGCAGTATGATTAAAAGTAAAACTTTTAATTAAAACGTGTAAATGTCGCCATTTAGATGAGTCATTTGAAATTTTTTCAATAGAAATTTGCACAAAAGTAGGATGCATCCCCCGTTTTTGTTCTGATTTTTAAAAGAGAAGCGTGACAATTATGACCATGCTAAGCCATGCTCTGGGCGAGATCACGTGCCGCCGCTCGGTCCCTCGTCTTGGCCCAAACCATGATTCGGGCCAATGTAGAACCTGATGTTGATTACGAAGCCGCTCCTCAGGAGTGGCTGCAGTGATTCCACCATCATGGCCGCCGCCGGTACCCAACCACGCCCTCTCGCCTGCCAGTCAGGAGCGGCAAAATGGCAGCATGCAGCAAAATGAGTGAGAGGGGGGAAAAAAACAGGGCGACGCCCACTACTGCAAGCTAAGGCACGCTCGACTGAGCTGGAGCTCGCCTCGGATGCCAACCCAAACCAAAACATTTATTATTTTGTGGTTTAAGTCAACTGACTGCGTACAGGATTGAATAAAAAAAAACACGTCAAAAGACAGAATGTTGAAATTAGCGAGGAGTTTAGCTTATTTTGTACCAAAATTTGTTTTTTCTACGCTCTGTTGCTTGTTCATTAGGAGCGCAGAGCAATAATTCAGCCAGAAACACCAGACCTGCAGTGAGAGGAACCATAAGACACTATGTAAGGCCAGATGATATTATCGCTCTGGTATCGTCTGTCATTCAGCTGCATGATCATTTTATAAGCTGCAGTTTGTTTCCGCCATTATTCGTAGAATAATTTTTGCTTTTTATCTGTACTGACCTAAATACCAACACCACCATCTACACTGTCCTAAAGAATCCTTCAGGTGTGCGTCGTCTTGGTAAAATTGTTCAAACTCAGAATGAACATTTTAACAAATAAGACCAAAGGTTTGAAGCAGGATGGTTTTATTCCAGTTTATTTTAGTGAGTGAGGAGCTCCATTTGGTTAAAGACTGCGGCAGAATTTTCTTTCTTTTTCTTTTTTCCCCCTCAGTTAAATTATGATTGTCATATATGTATGTTTTAAACACATGGAAAATAAATAAATAAATGCAGGCTTGTTTGTTTGAGTTGGGGCAGATGGGGGTGGGGGTCAGTGTGGCTGGGTTCTCTAATATGGAAATGTTACTTCTTGTCCTTATTACATACTAAGTACTTGTGCATAAGCTTATCCAAGAATATTTTTGGTTGTTTCATGCCCACAGTATAACTAGTAACAATATCAGGTTACTTTTAACTTCATCCTGATATAATGTCCACAAGTGTAATACGATAAAACTGTTAGATGTGTGTATTAAAGGCAGATTAAAAAGTAGAAATTAGACCCAGGATTACTTCTTCCTTAGTTTCACAATTTAAATGCAGTCAGTCGAATAAAGACATATCACTTTTAGTGTTTAGCCTTACCCCAGGGTTCCTACAAGGTCTTACAAGGTGTGGAAAAACTGTGCCATTTGCTGTTTGTGTTTTCCTGATCAGAATAAAAATTCAAAAACAAAACTGGGGTGTATATCTTTTTGAGTCACAAATTAGTGCCGTCCTGAAGAATATAAAGCTTTTTCTCTTGGTAACGTATAGACTGTTTCTTACAAAATAAATCACTGATCAATCAATACCATATACTCAGCCAAACAACAAACAATATTTTTCATTCAAAAGAGGACACAGATTGTAGTGTGAAGCTCTTTGAGTATCCTGGTTGGGTAGAAAGTCGCCATACAAGTACAGTCCATTTACCATTTACCATTTCATACAGACAATAAGCCTGATCATTCCACAAGCATTTATTGTTAATTTGGCATATACTTGTGTTGCTAAATGTAAAAAAGGCCTTAATGATTAAAAACTATCATTTAAGTGTGGAAACATTTTGAGCATTGAAAGGTAATGGAAACCCTGTTAGTCTATTTGTGACAAGCTCTTTGAAAAGCTTCATTGTTTTTAGTAAATTATTGTATACAGTTTGGTGAAATGGGATATTAGATTTGCATCATTAAAAAAACACAAATTCAGCTTTATTCATATATTGTTTATGCGTTTAATGTCTTAAAGTGTAGTGTATTAGCCACAGCATGGTTTATATTGTAAAGTGATGCATTGCAGCGTTTCACCGTCTCATATTAAGTTGTTGAAAGAACAAAGATGATGTTCAAAATACTCTTTGGAATCACCTCTGTTCATGTTGTTATGATGGTATCTCACTGAAACCATTTAAAAACCATACGCCACATGTTATTTCAGAACTCAAGACTGTTTTAAAGTGTCTCAAAGACTGAACGTGTTTAAATCCAGTCGTTGTGAGAGGGTGAAAAAGCTCAAATTAAGTATTATACCCTGTCATTTTCTGTCTTTATAGCGCTGGCTGCCACTCTCTTACAGCTCTATTAGGGCTTCCTATATTCAAACTGCACTGTGCAGAATTTTAAGGTAAACGTCTACATTTTTTATTTTTAGCTTTTCCCCCTCTCTGGTTGAATGACACTTTATTACTGTTTCTTGGTGTGTGAATGTGTTTTATTTTTTCTTCCCCCTCTCTTTCAGTGCAGAGTTGGTGGTGGACTAGGAGGAAGATGTCACGCTAAGGATGGGTTTTGGTGATGATGTTGGTGCTGTTGATGCAGCATCGAGCTCTTACTTTGTGCCTCTGTCAGCTATGATCCGTAACCACACAGTGAGTGACAGGCCAGTCTCCAGGGGAAAGCATGAGGTCTGAGGTGAGTCAGATGTATCCTTGACCCTGTCTGGCTGTGTGTCAGGAAGCAACAGAAACTCAGTTAAAAAAAAAGGCCAGGACTGGCATGACTGTACAATGTACATCTTTATTTAGTACGTGTAAGAAGATTGGTTGGTCCTTTCAATCTGCTCATGAGATCTGGTGTAGGTTCCCTGAACTTATGAAATGATAATGCAGCTCGTAACCTCACAAACYGATACATTTGATACCTTCTTGTCCATTTGTGTTCCCTGTGAGCACTGAATGCTTTTACACTCTGCCTTGAAATGTTACAAATCTGTCTGGAGCTGAAACTGATTATTGGTAGTTATTCAGCACACAGAACACTCAATCCAAGGTTAGAACTTTGAAAAAAAAAAAAGACTCCAGAACAGTTGTGCTGCTATTTACTGCAGAGATTTTGTTTTGATTGATTTGCCAATTCTAGATTATGTTTATAATCTCCAAACCTGAGCATAAGCCGCCAAACAAAACCTTCAATATTGTTCTGCATCCAGTAAACTGAGACAAAAACTACTCGCAGCAAAAACTTTCAGGGTCCAGCAGYTCTTTATTCACAACTCTACAAAGGAAAGCTAAAGCTGTTCTGGTTAGAATAAAAAATATATTTGGGAAAGGTAAACAACTAAAATATCCTTAAATTTGAAAACCTACAAAAATGTTGTTGGTTAGTGGAAAACTTGAGACGAGATTTAATTTTTAAACTCTTTGGACAAAATTGTTTTATTTTACTTCATTTATGACCTGAACAATCAAATGGCTTAGAGAAAAATAGTGGTATTTGAACCCATTTGCTTCTGCAAGCATGTTTATRTTTGAATGGGGCCTTTTCCAAAATGGTATTTATTGATATTTTAGGCTGTAAATGCCAACTTTGTCACACTCAAATCGGGACACTGCATGGTTTGTTTTCAGGAATCCAAATAGTGCGTTATGACACTTTTATTTTTTCTTTTGTCTCAGGTTAGCTCTAACAAAGGTTGTAACCTGTGCAATTAAATCCAATAGATTTAAAAGCTAACCCTTATTTTGCAAGAAGGAGCTCTTTTTCACGACACACTCACAAGTCAGCAACTGTGGAGCAGAAAGTTTATATTTGGGTAATGTTATGCACCAACTCCTGTTGCTGAGCAGAAAACAGCCCTCTACAAGTCAAACATGGTAGCCACATTGCAAACAAAACTGCGTAGATGCTTTTTACCCTGTTTTTTTTTTTAAGTGAACAAAAAGAATTAGTTCCTAAAAGTCCTTCATCTTTTTTTTCCGAGGGTCACTCAAACACGATGTGTGAAATGAGAGTTGCCTGGGTGTGACTTTACCAGAATGCTTCCACTCGCTATTGTCTGCCTAGTCAACTTCTGCAGGCCCCAGTGCCCTGACTTCCATACATGAGAGATCAAGGGTTACCAAGGTGCTTTTGAGAAAGGAGGGCTCAATGTGAGAGGGGACAAACCCGTCCACAAAATACTCATTTCCTTTGCATGTTAGATGCCCTAGTGGGGATTCAGTTGGGGTCACTGACACAGCCACTCTTATTTTCATCCTCCACCTCCTCCCCGCATCGTTTTTCATAATGAAAACTGTTGCTTGCCTCTTTAGAGGCTTGAAACCCCTCTCTGCTGCCGGTACAGTATGTGCCTCCTTAACACATAAAGAAAGTTTGGTCGTTCATCCAGTGGTGCCAGACGGAGCCACCTCAAGTAGAAAAGGTAAAAGTAGTTCTGTCCACCTCTCATTCTTGCCGAAAAAGTTCAGCCACTGAGCCACGGCATTAACTTGTATTCTAACAAGATTAAAATATATTCGTCCTGGGGATTAGCATAGTTAGGTGTCCTTTTGCCTCCCTTTTTTTTTTCCAGCACTGGTGCGTTGACGTTGGACTTTGATCTGTGTTGCGAGGCAAGAGTCCTGGCTTGGCCCTAGCCATTCGAGTGCCAAGTGTGAAATTGGCCTGATGTCATCCCCATTCTTCACCTTTTACATCTTTCACCACTTTAATTATGTTTCCGCCACAAAGCCCAGGCACCTCTGAGCAGATTCCACTCTGGCCGTAGGAAACATTTTAGAAACTGTGGGTAAATGACACAGTAGGGGGGGGGGGGGGGGTGGCAGGAGAGGTCATAGCAGGATGGGGCCCCTTTGTGTCCAGAGATATACATTGATACATTCCTGATTTATCCCTCCCTCTTTAAAAAAATAAAATAAAATAAACGTTTACTCGAAGCTCTATTGAAACTTTTAAAACGTTTCAGAGCTGGCTTTTTTTGTTTGTTTGTTTGTTTGTTTCTGTTCTCTTACTTTGTCAYGCTTTCACAGAAGCATGACTTTTCTGTTGCATGCCACAGTTAGGAAAAGAAAGAGGTCATCAGGACCCCGAATCCCACTTTTATGGGGGAGACAAACCCCTCTCAGATTTGATTTGTTTATTTATTTTTTCCCAGCAGAATGTGCTCATGTGGCGTTACAGCTTTAGCTTCATGCATTGGTGTCCCTATCTGAACTCCAGGCGGCTCCTCTTCTTCCTGTGAATAGTTTGATGAAGGTTCCTATTGATGCGCTGAATGAAGGATCAAAACAACAGCAGTGTGCGCGGGAGCGCGTGTGCGTGGAGTAAAATAAAATGCGGTGATATTAGTGTGTGTGTGTGTGTGTGTGTGTGTGTGTGTGT